TTCACTCATGGCTTGAATTTTTTTTGAGACTTGAAAGTAAAAACATTCACGTTTCGAGATTTTGAAATCCCAGAACAAGCAGAACTAAAGGAACCTTTAGTTGGAGCGACTTGACGCTTTATTTGAGACTTCCGTGAAGTGACTTGGGGTTCCATTTGCTCTAGTGTTGAAGGACTTGATGCTGGATCTAAACTTGTCCTGACTTGAAACTGGATTGAAACGTGTCTCAGATAACTTGACCTGATGAGAACCTGTGTGGTACTTGATCTGAAACTTGGCTTGAATGGCTCCAGTTGAACTTGTCTCCAATAACTAAAGTTGTCTTTGCCTTAATGGACTTTTGAGCCAAACTGAGACTTGTCTTGAGTCGCTTGAATGACTCGACTTGAACTTGCCTCAAATGTCTTGGATTATCCTTTTGAGTCACCTTGGGACTTGTCTTGAATTCCTTGAAACTTGAGTTACACTTGTCTCAAATGACTTGACACTTTATTAATTTAAGACTCAACTTGACATTAGACTTGATGTTTAACTCGTCTCAAGTTACTTGAATTTGCTTGAAACTGCTTGCTTATGAAGACTTGTAACTTGGACTTAACTGGAAAGACTCAACGACTTTTCTTGAGGATTGACCAAATGGGTAAATCCAGTCTCAAGTCATGAGACTGGATTTGACCTTGTGTCAGATAATTTGAGACTTGACTAGAACCTGCTTGAAACATACTTGATTTAAAACCTGTTTTGAATTACTTGACTTGAACTTGTCTCGAGTGGCTTGAGTTGTTCTTGCCCTCAAGAACTTTTGATTCAAACTGAGACTTTAAGTTTGAGTCTGGAATCCTTGAAATAACGGACTTGGATTTGGTTCAAATGGCTTAAAGCTTGACGTACACTTATCTCTGATGCACTGAGAATTAAAAGAGAATTGTTGGACTAACTTAATCGCTTCAGCTGGTAACACAGAATTGAATAAAGTTAATCCAAATTAAGTTAACAAGGAACTGAATGTCAACGCCACTGGATTAGATTAGATGTACGTCATTGGATTCCTCTCATATGTACAGTGTCATTGCTGCAACTTCAAGGAAAGGCAACGTAAGGTTTCCACAGCATCTTCTGCTTCACCCATTTGTAAAATCAAAACATGATTTTTGTCATTAGGTTTACAGTTCTTTCTTTTTCTTTGCTTTGTAAACCTCCTTAAAGAAAATAGCAGCAGCAGCAGAAACATTTGTGACGACATTGTGACGTCCGATGCACAACGCTAAATCTAACTTTGCTGAAATTAGAGCGTTGGTTTGAAGTCCTGAAGTATAAGTTCAAGTTGATAGAATCCACAATAGTAAATGGCCTTTAATGATTAATGAGGGTAATTCAAACAGCTCAAATACACTTTTTACAGTGTGCCTCAGATTGTCTTTTTCCTGTAGGACCTTTGAGTCAGCTGGAGAATCTTGACTTACACTTGCTTCGAATGACTTAACGTGACCCTTAATGACTTGACATTCAACTTGCTGTGACTTAAATTAGTCTCAAAGTATAGACTGGGTGTCCTTTCAAATTACTGTTGGACTCATCTCAGCTTAGTTGACTTTACTGGAGATCGCTTGCTTATTAAGAACCCTTTACTTGGACGTCTTCGGAAAGACTCCCAGGCTGGACTCGATACTCATCTCTAATGAGTTTACACTTGACTTGAACCTGTCCTGAAAGACTTGTTTAAATTACTTTAGACTTGACTGACATGAATGCTTTGATGCTTGACTTTCATTTTCTCCAGCAGGCTTCAGATATTACTCGAAATTAACACAAATTTCTTAATTAGACTTGAGTTATAATTTGCAATGACAGACTTGAGGCTAAATTTGAATTGCTGGCAAAAGGGTGAAGAAAATGCATGATGTCATGGAAGGTCCTCACAAGTGTAGCGGTGCAAACGCCTTTGCATTTGTGTTTATGTAGGAGCATGGGAAGCTGACAGATGCTTTGTGCATATATGAATGTCAGTGTGCATGTGTGTGTGTGTGTGTGTGCTCTATTGTGCCAGTTCAGCATCCTGAATGGAACAAAAACTTCACCAGAGCAGAGCTGAAATATGTGTGGGAGGTGTGTGTGTGTGTGTGTGTGTGTGTGGCTGCATGTCAACATGTAAAAATGAGCATGAGGGCTTTATTTCCATATTCTCTGAAATGTTCATTCTGTCTCTATAAAATGAAGAAAATCACATTTATAGGAATTCAACCAACCATTTTGTGAACTATTTCAATTTGTTTGTCGTGAAAGGTTTTTCCAGACAGCATTTCTTTTTTTCTCACACCGTATAGATTTTATGCATGCATGTGTCTGCTTTTCATCTTTCCATACACTGCGTGTTATCTATTTGCCAGTGTGAGCGTGTCTGGATGCGCGTGTGTGTCCAGCTGGAAACGGGGAAGCGTCTCTGGAGGCAGGAAACATGCAGAAGCAGCAGACTGGTTCCTGGTGTTGGCTGTCATGATTTATGTGCTGTAAAAAGACAATTTCTCTAACAGTGGACCCCCTGTCATTTTTTTTTGGAGATGGAAAAACTCACAATCACATCATCAATTTTCCTTATTTTCAACCATTTATTTTTGTAATGTGAGAACAATTTTTGCACTGGACGTCTGTCAAGGTCAAAACCTTTCATGTCTGAAACTCCTGTGTGAGGTAAAATGCTCATTAAATCTGGCTGTCATGGCTGTTTTGCTAAAAAAAAAAACTCTTAACCATTTCTTCAATATCTCTCACTATCTGGCCTAACGTATCCAAGAAAATGCTTTAATTAAAGTAGCACAGTAGGCTCACTGTAATCCTGGAGTCTTGGCACTGGGTGTAATCTACTCCTGCAAAGAGCCTTTTAAAATTCTGTTCAGTTCAGTTCTGGCATGAAAACCCAACTTTTGGCAACACGGCTTCATTGCTTGTGGTTGAAGAGGATCACCAAATCATTTGTTTGCAAAGTTTTTTTACATTTTGTGTTATTAGTTGGGTTTGAGAGAAATGCTTTAGTTGTTATCAGAGTTTGGCATTACATTTGGCTAAGCTGTCTCCATGGCGACTGAGCCAGCTCCATGGCCAGGGATATGTGTGAAAGAAAGTGGTGGTCGTGATGAAAATGTCCTGTGAAACATTCATCAACCTCTAGCAGCTCTTTAGTTTTATTTGTGATATACTAGAATCTGATGGGAAAGTGTAGTGAGTGTGCTGAGTAAGTAAAAAGACAACAGCTATTGTCAGGAGTTACCAGTTAAACTACATTTTTCCATAACGTGGCAAACTTGTCCCTCAAAAATTATGTTCCAGTACAACTAAACTTCCTTCTCATCCATGTTTTTGAAAGAAGAGGGTATTTTTTTCTCCCCCAAAGTTAAAACAGTGATGTCAGAGAGGAGGCCGACGGCTTTCACTTGCTGTTTGGTTGAGTTTAGGCAGCAAAGCTTCAGGCTTAGCTTTACAAAAACATCACGTTTTGGTTGACACTTTCACCACTACTTTTCAGAAGCTTGGTAAAGCTCCAAAATCACTTGGTTGGATTGGGTTAAAATGCAACCCTTTCACAACATGTTTAAGGCTTTTTTCTTCTTTTTTTCTGAGTTACCAGGGAGATGAGCTGGTTGGCTAAAAAAGAAGAGACAATAAAGCAATTGGCCGTTCTCCCTGCAAGAATTTGCCTGCCATTTTATGTTGGCCTGAACCTTCGTGCTTGTTCCGAAGAACCGCCCCGGTGGAACCTCGTTCTGGGCAGTGTTTTGGTGGAGAACCTACTCTAGGCTCAACTGAGAAGACGAACATTAATTGGTCAAATTCAGGAAAGACAAATGCTTACAATTGAGAATACTGTTTAGATATATAAGAGCGTGCCTTTTTGGGGGAAAGGGCTGAGCATGGTGGTAATACCTACATTTTCTTAAGGATTTCTGACAGCTGAACTTTCATCAACTACTGATTAGTGGATGATGCCACCACCATGCATGGACACATCTGTGATTGAAGCACTTTGGTATGACTTCGCCATGTTGTACCAATTAATTAAATTAAATGCAAAATCAAAAACTTTTTCCATGTTGGTGTGTCTTAATTCGCAACATTTCTCTGGTTGCAGCTTAACCGTTGTGACGCTTTATTTAACGCAGAGCAACCGCTAGCTTCGCTCAGGACAGTTTCCATGTCCTGCATTGGTAATAACAAAGTGATCAAAATGTACCTAAACCTGATTGGTGTAAGCCAGGAAGCGACAAGGATCGAAGAAGCTGCGTTCAAAGCCATGCAGAGAGCGTTCGGGGGGACAGAAAAGGGGGAGGCGACACTGAGGAAGACACAGGATCCACAGAGGTCATGTTAAAAAGGTTTATTTCAACAACTGTCTGAATCTCGTTTGTTTATTCTCTGTTCGAAGTCCCAAAAAAGTACAAAAAAAAAAAAAAAACAAGTACATCAAAGGATTAGAAATCACATCAATGAAAACCAAGACACATTGTGTTGCTTCTTTTGAATCAATCCAAGCAAATTTTTTTTTTTTCCAATATTTATACATACTCACTGGATTAGTCAGACAAACATCAAAAACCTCTCAGTAGCTTTTATCTTAACGTATTTTTTTCTTTTTTTTTTTACAATGACGTTTTACGTACGTTTTAAACTTCTGTATGATTTCTTTCTTTTTACAAAATACACCAATGCAGGCAGGGGAAGGTGTGTGTGTGTGTGTGTGTGT